AGAGACAGAGAAGCACATCACATAATGATAAAAGGTCAATCCACTGAGATGTAGCAATCCTAAATGCATATGCATCAAACAACAAAGCTGCAAAATGTGAAGCAATAAATGATAGAACTGAAAGGAAACAGGCAAATCAACACTTGTAGCTGGACACTTCAATATGTCCTTCTCAACAACTGACTGAACTAGTTAGAAAATCAGCCAAGGACAGAGAAGAATTCAGGAAACACCATCAACCAACAGAAGTAAAGCAACATTTATATAAAAAAGTAACTCGGGGCGCCTGGGTGGCTCAGTCGGTTAAGCGGCCGACTTCAGCTCAGGTCATGATCTCGCGGTCTGTGAGTTCGAGCCCCGTGTCGGGCTCTGGGCTGACAGCTCAGAGCCTGGACCCTGTTTCAGATTCTGTGTCTCCCTCTCTCTGACCCTCCCCCATTCATGCTCTGTCTCTCTCTGTCTCAAAAATAAATAAACGTTAAAAAAAAAGTTTTAAAAATAAAAAAAAATTAAAAAAAAATAAAAAAATAACTCAACCCAACAATAGCAGGATTATTTTCATGTGACCATGGAACATTTATCAAGACAGACCATATCCTTGGCCATAAAACAAACCTCAATATATTTAAAGAAATTGCAATCATACAGAGTATATTCTCTGACCACTATGGAACCAATAAGAAATTAGTAGCTGAATGGTAACAGGAAAATCTACAAACACTTGGAAACTAAACAACACACTGCTATGCAATTCTTAGGTCAAACATGAAGTCTCTAAGGAAATTAAAAATTACATTGAACTACATGAAAAGGAAAACATACCAAAATTTGTGGGACATAGCTAAATTGATAATACTAAATGCTTACATTAGAAAACAGGTAAAGACTTAAATCAATAACCTAAGCTCCCACCTCAAGAAATTAGGTAAAAAAATAAACCCAAAACAGGAGGAAGGAAATAATAAAGGCAGAAATCCAGATTGAAAACAGAAAGACAATAGAGAAAGTCAATGAAACAAAAAGTTTGTTCTTTGAAAAGATCGATAAAACTGACAAACGTCTATCAAGTTTGAGAAATAAAGAGAATTTTTCAGTATCAGGGATGAAATATCATCACAGAGCCAGCCTACAGATATCAAAAGGGTAATAATATTTTGAACAATTCTACACACTTAAATTTGACAACCTGGATGAAATGTTATCAATTCCTTGGAAAGCATAAACTACCACAATACATCTGGTATTAAATAGATAACTTTCATTGTCCTAAAACTATTAAATAAATTTAATCCATAATTTTAAAAACAAAAAAAGATTAAAGATAATTAAGCAAAGTATTTAGTATAGTGACAGGCACATTAGCTAGTACTCAATAAACAAAGGCCATTATCATTTTATTTAAATCATTACAACCACTCCTGGGGAAACTGAAGCTTCACAGAGTTGAAATCCTTTGCTAAAGAGTCAGAATTCGAACCCAATTCTGAAGCCAGTGCCATTTCCTCTAGAGTTTTGAGTCCACACCTCAGCCACGCCCCCCCCTTGGAGATGTGCCAACCAGCACTTCCTTTATAGATAGGAAAACTGCAAAGCGGTGAGGTTTTGCCAAAGCCCCAGAAGTCAATAAATGCTCACAAACTAATTCTTCACCAGTGTACAATTATTCTCAAAAATTAGGGTGCATCAGAATCTTTCGTTTTGTTAAATAGAGATTGCTGGGTCCCAGCCCAAGAATTCACATTTTTAAAAAATTCCCAGTTAATGAACCATACTTTGAGAACAAAATGTTAGCACACCCATCCCCCAAACCAGAAGCTGTCACACTCCACAGATAGGGAAGGAATTGAGAAAGAATAATGCTCTAAATCAGTGGTTCTGAGGGTGGCCCCCCACTCACCTACTAAATCAGAAACCCTGCAAGTGGGGCCTACCTATCTTGTCTTTTAATAGGTCTTTCAAGTGATTCTGATGCATGCTAAAGTTTGAGAACCATTGTTCTACAAATCAAAGTGATTTGCAAAAACCTAGCCCTTCACAGGAGAAAAAAAGTTAATACCAACTTTTTTCCACTTTTGAGAACTTGGACTCCGGAACCAGATAATTCTAAGTTCAAATCCAGACTTAGAAAGTAATTCCATGAATTCTAGATTCTCAGCAGCAAAATGGAATAGTCATCTTCCAGGAAATAACTTGGCATTATTAATCCCTAACTGGACTTGAAGCAGTCTAGCCTATGGAAATCATCAGAGATGTGAACAGATTTATATCCTAGAAAGGCATCTGTGGGCTTAAATGTTGTGAGCAACCATGAAAAGTCCACAATATTTAATTTTCAATTGTGCTTAAGTACAATCTTATATGGAGCACTGTGAGCCTGGTGTGTGTGCATGTGCACACAATGCATGGGTTAAGCAAGAGCAGCCCACCAGGACCTGATTCTTAGATGACTTCCTTGTTTTCTGCTAGCCCATAGAGAGAGGCATGAGAAGAGATAAAAACGTGGTCTCTTTCATAGAAAAAAAATAAGGCAATTAACCTGTGTCAGGGTCTTCGTAGAAACCCATGATTCACCACAGAAATGTAATTAAGGAGGAGCCTATCCCTTATTTGTAATTTTGCAATTACATTTGTAAATTTGCAATTCATAATGGCCTCAGTGGTGTTCTTTATAAATGTCAACAAGAACACTGTGCAACAATGTGCACCATATTTCTCTTTTTGTTTTGACCAGCAACTTGTATCAAAATGAAAAACATTTCCAGAACTCCCAAAGTTTCCCTCATAACATAATATTATAAAAAAGTAGAAATGATGTTAAGTATCCAATCACAGAAGAAATGACCAAGTAATTGATGACACATAGATATATGGTGGGATATCAGTAATGAGATTTACATGAGTATTTGACAACCTGGTAAAATACTCACAGAATATTAAATAGGAATAAAAGTCAGGCTACAAATGGTATTTATAATACAATCCCATGTTATAAAAATATAGGTTTATATCCTAAGTCAAAAGACAGGAGATAATGCAACAAAACATTTAACAGTGGATTATGCTGGACAGCAGATTCATAGATGATTTTTATTTCCTTATTATTTTTGTCTTTTCTACAATGAGCATGTCTCACACATATAATCAGGAAAAAACTTAAAACATTATTTAAAAAAGAAATACCTAACTTTTAATTGGGTGTGGATTGAAATAATTTATTCAAAGTCCCTGTCATGGGGCCTGGCATATAGTAAGCACTCAGCATTTGTTCCAGTTTTCTGTTCCCAGACTATGGAGTTAGAGTCTCTATACTGTGGGCAGTTCACTTTCCAGGTTTGAATCTACACACTTCTCACATAATCCAAAGCAAAGGCCACAGGCAATAGCTTATTTTAAGAAGGCCCATTCATTCATTCATTCATTCATTCAAAAATTCACTCAGTATATCTATTACATGTTCAGCACTAAACTAGGTTCTGGGGATACTAAAAATGAAAAGATGACATCTCTGCCCTCAAATAACTCTGGCTAATGAGTGACACAGGTTTATTAACAACTATGATATGATGAAATAATTACTTTCAATAAGGATGTACACAAAGTACAATGGGAACCAGGAGGAAGGAGGCCTTTTACAGAGGAGGTATGCCATGATCTATAAAAGGGAGGACATTAGTAGGAATTGCATGCACAAAGAAAAAGAGGGATAAAGGAGTATAAAATTTTCCCAGAACTATAAGTAGTTCAGTCTTGCTGGGACATAAAGAACCAGGAGGAGGAGTGGCGGGAAATGAGACTGAACAAGTAGATCACAAAAGGTCTTGTCTGTCCCACAAAGGAGACTGAATTTTATTCTGTAGGGGAACCACCAAAAGAATTTTAAACAGAGGAGTGACTTGATCAGCACTAGCAAAGATACCAGGAATCCTGAAAATCATCTTAATCCCGCTTATTTCCAGAGGAAAGAAAAAGGCCCCACCCTCTAGGTCTGTCCTCTCTTAAGTGAAATCACATGAAGCAGTAAAAAGAACTCTGCACCTGGCACACAATAAATAATAAAGATCAGCTGAACATGAATTTGAAGGCGCTGCAAGGGGCCATCCCTGCTGAGAGCAGAATTTTAGCATAGCAGTACCAGCACCTTCAGTTTGGCTGGGACAATAGGAGCTCATTCAGAAGGGACTACTGACAACTGAAAATTGTAGAACCTAACATACTGTACTCCAGTGCAAAAATTCCTCTCATGGTTTTCTTTCCATAACTGGGCCTTAAGTCCCAACAATGAGAGAACATCAGTTTCTTCCCACACACTAACTTCTCTGGAATCCTGGGTGACAGATGCTTCTGTGCACACATGGTTAACTGGAGGAAATTCATTAGTGGTTTCACTCCTGCTGTTTTACCCAATACCTCTTCTGCTTAATTCAATTTAGTTGGATAGTTCTGCAGATAAATACTGAAGAAATAAAGTACTATTGCATTTCTGCCTCCACCTGCTGAATGCATGCAAAACGCTTTAAATCATCAGGACAGATGTATTAGATATATTTTATAGGCGAAGACCATGAGGTTCAGAGAGGCAAAGCAACTTGCCAAAGGACACTCTGATAGTAAGTTGAAAGGCACAATTGAAATCCATGTTTGTTTCAATTATTTCAAAAATACAGCACTGTCTCCCAAGAAGCCAGAATCTGAGGCAAAACACAATTGCCAGCATACAAAAATGATACATTCTTTGTGGCTGGAAAGAGAACACTTCCTAAAATAAAAAAGGGGGCAAAGAAGAAACACACATGGGATAGAAAAAAAGAGGAGACACCAGAGGTCATTGTGAGCTACGCCCTGGTCTTGAAAGGAAGGATGAAAAAACATGGGTCTGGGAGGTGGGTTGGAGCTAACTCTTGGCCAGAGAAGGGGGAAAAGTTTCTGAGCAGGAACCTAAAACAGGACTGAGAAAGAAGCGTGCAAGTGAGCACCTGTCCAGTCTGGACTGCCCTCCTTACCTGCCATGAAACCAGTCCTGGCACATGTCACACTCGATCATGAAGCGGGTCACATCGTAAGGCAGCCGGCAGAGGCAATACACTGGTACCGAGGCCATCTTCGCCCGGCCTTGGAGCGCTCTGCGGCGGGCCAGGTTCGTAGCGTCAAGAGAAGCAGGAGGCAGCAGCGCGCGTCCTTTCTGGACGATAGCTGGGCACAAACAACACTTTTTACCGAATGAATCAGGTCCCCCAGGGTACCAACCCTCAGTTCACAAATGGGCAGTTAGTGCTGCCGGGATGCAACACAGCTGGTGTGGCTGTAGGGGGCAATCGGAGAAAAGTCCACCGGTCACCAGACTGTTTTTAACAAATAAAGGACGGCATTTGGCCGTCGAGGTTTCTCCCCCGCCCCCCAGCTCCATCGGCCCCCTGAGTCAGTGATAACTTCTTTCCGGGTTTCAGGGAAATATCTGACGCCTTTTCAGGAAGCTTCTTTAATCCCTTGCTGGACCCTCTCCTTGCTAGCAACCTTGCTTCCCAGGGCTCTCTTTATTATGACGCAAACCAGAGCCAAAATAAATAGGCTGGGGTACCTTAGAAAAAGCCCTTTCTCTCACTCCCCAAATAGGGGCAACTAAAGAGAGATGAGGGATCCCTGGAAGTCGCCTCAGATTACTCGAGAATCACCTCGATGCCTTCAGGAACAAGGCAGACAAGACTAGGCGCCCAACTCAAACCACAGTTCTGGGGTCGTGCTGAGAGTTGAAATGGTCTTCTCCTTCACTTTCAAAATCATTCCATCCCCAACCAGTCAGTAGTCTCATCACCCCAACAAATTAAATAAATCTCAATTCTAGAAACGATCAGATCGTCCTCTACTTCGAAGACGACAGGGCTCCGTGTTGCACCCCCAAAACTAAAAAGGATCTCCTCTAAACCCCTGACACTGACTAGAATTTCTTCACACTCCCGCAACTAAGCAAGGATCTCACCCGCCCCCCCCCTCCGGCTCGGGAACGGACAGGTATCTCCTCACAGCCCCCTGAGAGTGACGAGGACTCCCCTGTCCCCCCAAACTGACAGAGAGCTCATCACAGATCTCAAGACTGACAGGAATATTCTTGCAGCCCCCGAAACTTACGAGATCTCTTCACGCCGCCCAAAATGACAGGAACCTCCTCACGCCCCAAACCTGACAAGAATGGCTTTTGCCCTGAACCCTACAGGGACCTCCTCATCTGCAAAGCTAAGCTACAGGGATCGCTCACACTAGCGGAGTTCTGTTCCACCGACGCGCCAGCTGCCGGGATTGCTCCGAAGCGCCTCAGCACCTAGCTCAGCGGAGGATCGGCAAGCAGTTCCGGCCCCACCAGCGGCGCGCGCCGAATTCTGGGATCGTCACGGCAACGCTGCGAATCTTGCTAGCCTTCCCCCAGAACCACCCGCTGGGTTTGCGCGGCCCTGGGCGCCCGGCGGTGCTTCAGAGCGGCTTTCTCCACGGTTTTGCCCCGGGCCCGGTCGTTAGGGCCTACTGGAGCCCGCAACTCGGGCCTAGTCCGGCGGCCGCCCGAGGAGCGGACAAACGGCGTCGTCCCTGAGCCGGCTGGAGATCGCTGCGAGCAAAGCAAGAGAAATGAGAATAACCGGCGGCCAGGTCGGAGGAAAAACTGCCGGAAAAGTCGCCGGGAGAAACCCGGTGGCGATGGTAGGCAATTCGAAGTAGTCAATAAAGTTTATTCAAAACAAGGAGGAAGTTGAAGCGGAGAGGGGAGGAGAAATATGGGGTAAACAGCTACCATGTTGAGAGTGGCGTCGCCGCCGCGGGGAGGCTACCAGACCGCCATCTTATGAGGGCTGGGCACGCGAGGTAACCGCGGCAGAGGCGGGGAAGGGAGGCCAGCGGCTCCCGCGTGACGCCAGCAGAGGCGGGGCGCCACCTTGAGAAAGGGTGACGGGATTCGGCTACCTTTGGACCCGCTCGTTTCTTCTAGGTACCCAATCAAGGCTGAGGACCTTAAGCCACCATCTTAGGCGAGGCAGTCGCTTGGCTCCATTTTGAGTGGGGCCAGAGCCTTCCAAGCCTTCCTCCTCCTCCGGGCCAACAGGGAGTTAAGCACCCTCCTTCCTCCTCCCCCCTTGCTCCGCCCACCCCACCCCCTCCCCTCACACACCCACCCCCTCCCCTCACACACCCACCCCCTCCCCTCACACACACCCCCTCCCCCCCCCCCCCCACACACAATCACTGTCCCTCCAGCCCTCCTCTCCTACTTCCTCCTCCTCCTCCTCCGCAGCCTTCTCGTCCTATGAGAGGAGGTGAACTCAGTGACTGAAAACTGCAAAGCTAATGGATCGCGGCGGGGGCGGGCTTCGGCCAGGATGGAGATGGAGTACTCACAGTAGCTCCCGTTTGCCGAGCACATTCTGTGGCTGGTCTCTTTTGCACGGTCTCCGAATCGTTTATTCTTCACCCTGCAAGGAAAGCTCTGTTCAAGTGAAGACATGGGTTTAGGGAAGCCAAGTGGCTTCAGTTTCAGAGCTGGGAAGTTGAACTTTGCACCCTCTACTACCCCCTCTCCCCGCCCCGAGTTGTGTCTTGTCGGTCCCTCAGTCAGTCCCTTGGTCCTAGTCCCTCCGTAAAGCTTTTGTGTACTTCCCAGCTCCCTCTGAACTCTCTCTTCTTTGACCCCACTATTTCAGTTCAGTTTGGTTCAGATACTGTGCCATGATTTTTATGCACAAGTCCCAGTGTTTTCTGACTAGCCTGAGGGTGGGTGGGAGAAGAGGTTGAATGAATGGAACTCCACAGACATAGAAGGTGGCGCTGGTGTTCTCTGACATTCTAGAATATTCTCTAGGAATCCTCTTACTATTTCATTTTTTAAAGGGCACCACCACTTTAAACAAGAAAATGTGTGTATGCACATCAATTTCCTAAGTGATGGTGGCTTAGACCATGGGGATACCATGATGAAGAGGGACTCCAGTGGGGAAATTGCCAGCCAGTGCAGGAGACAAACATGCAAACCAACAATTGGGATTGCAAGGTCCAGTAAGCATATATCTATCTCTTGCAAAGTGCAAAATAAAGTCATGAAAGTGCCTCAGAAGCAACTTGGTGCTGTCAAGGAAGGTTTCAGGGAGACCTGAAGGCTATATAAGAGTTTACTGAAGGATCAACATGTAAAAATGCATGGAGGCACACAGAAAAACATTTACAAAAAGAAGTTAAATGTTATATTTTATCCTGTAAACAATAACAAACCACTAAAGGTTTTTGAGCAAAAGCAACTCAAAAGTCACATTTGCATCTGAGCCAGGGGAAAATTCAGGATTAGTGGGACCTGAAGCTTATACAGTTTGTGAGGTAGGTCTTTAAGAAAAGAATAGAGGGGTGCCTGGGTGGCTTGTCGGTTGGGCGTCCGACTTTGGCTCAGATCATGATCTCACCATTTGTGAGTTTGAGCCCCGCATAGGGCTCTATGCTGATATCTCAGAGCCTGGAACCTGCTTCGGATTCTGTGTCTCATTCTCTCTCTCCCCTCCCCCATTTGTGCTCAGTCTCTGTCTCTCAAAGATAAATAAATGTAAAAAAATTTTTTTTAAGAAAAGAATATGGGCTTGTGAATACAAAATTAGGCTCAAAGGTAGAGTATTTCTAGAAGCTATTCCTACACCTGGGTAATAACTATAAAGAAGAGATACAAACCATATATAAATGTCTCACTAAAATGAAACTAAATGTATCCCCCTTCAATCAACTTCCACTCAGCTGGATCTCAAAAATGTCTGAAGCAGCTCCAACACCACCTAATACAAGAGAAAATGTGACTAGGGAAACTAGTGGAAGGGGACAGTGGTTTTAATGAATTGTGTTTTAAATATATTATGCAAACTTTATAAAAACATACGACCATGTGACCATATGACAAGTGACATGCCCTGCAGCTAAAGCTTTCTTAGCTTGGGTGGGGGGGGGCTGACTTTGGCCACACATATAATAAAATTGGAAAGACACAGATAAGATTAACATGGCCCCTGCACAAAGATGACATACAGTGTTGTGAAGCCTTACATAATAAAAAGGAAAAAAAGGGAAGACAGGAGGGAGGAGGCTGTTGCATTAGTAATGAAACAAAGATGAGGTCTGAATCAGGATAGCTGCAACATAGGTAGAAAAGGATTAAATAAGTGGGATATTTTGGATGTTGAATAGGCAAGGCTTGGGAACTCATTGAAAATAGGTGAATGAGTGAAGGGAGTGTGAGTTCATTTCTGGGTTGGGTGTCAAGAGTGGATGATGGTGCCATTGACTGAACTGGAGTGCACGGAAGGAAAAGCAGGTTTGGTGGGGAAGAAGAGACTAAGTTCAGTTTGGAGCACATTGAGTTAAAGTGTGTTTGGAACATTAATTCACTCACCCAGAAATTCTTTCTTGAGCATCTAGTATGCTCCAGGCACCATATTAGGTGCTGAGGATGTAGTGGTAACCCAGGTAAGATCCTGACCTTCATGGAGCTGCCATTCTACTGGGGGGATCAGTCAATAATCAAACAAATACAGTTTTATTCATGTATTTATATTTACCAGGCAGTGTTCTAAGCATTGGGGACTCAGGGAAAACAAAACAGACAAGTTCCCTGCCTTCCTGTGATTCACATTCCAGCTAGGGAAACAAGCAACAAAATGAGTCAAATAAGAGAATCTCAGTGAGTGCTATGAGTTGCAGTGAGTGCTATGAGAAAAATAAAACAAGTTATGAGATAGAGAAAGATCTGGATAGAAGTTAGTCTGTTTTAAATAGTCAAGGCCTCTTGTAGAAGGTGGTGTTTAATCTGAGACCTGAATAATATGAAGTAACCAGGGACAGGGCAGAAAGAATAAAACGTGCAAAAGTCCTGGGGCACCTGGGTGGCTCAGTTGGTTAAGCGTCCAACTTTGGCTCAGGTCATGATCTCGTGGTTCATGAGCTTGAGCTCCGCATCAGGCTCTCTGCTGACAGCCTGCTTTGGATTCTGTGTCTCCCTCTCTCTCTGCCCCTCCCCCACTCACACTCTGTCTCTCTCTCTCCTTCAAAAATAAATAAACATTAAACAAAAATTGTTTTTAAAAGTGCAAAAGTCCTAATGTGGTGGGGTAGGGGGCAGTTCAGGGCATTCCATCAAAAACACTTCCTAAATATTTATTATGGACTGGACTGGATATAGGTGGTGATTGGGGTAGGGTCTCCAGTCACAAATAAAAGAGACCCTGTGTTTACCCTTAAGGAGTATACAGTCTAATGAGGGAATCAGGTTTCAATGAACAACACAAGGCTGAAAAAAGTCAAACCCTAAGTGCTGCCTACAGGTATCAGCAACATGTGTGGGAACAAAGAGCTATAATGAATTCAAACATTTTCATTTGGTATGTTGCAAAAGCTTCACAGGAGGTGGCATTTGACCCATGTATAGTAGTACTCATCCCTGAAAGTTCTTCCCTAGTGTTCTTGGGAGGTGGGATGGAGATGCTAAAGATAATGGGAAAGGCAAAGCTGATGGAGGTGAATCTGACGCAGATTTTGCTGACAAAGGAGCTCTTGGCACCGCTATGGATAGGAGGAAGCTGGTTGCTGCCCTAGAGATGTGTGCTCTGGTTATGTCCATCATAGCATCAGTGCAAGATATGAACTGGCTACCAAAGAAGGAGGCTGCTCTGGAAACTTTCCTCCCCTTCCCCCACCTCCACTTAATGGTTATAAACATTTCCTTTTAATTACAGAAACAATAGTAAATGAATTCCCATTGTAAACATGCAAACAGGCTGAAGATACCACCACTCAATCTCTGTTTACTTCCTTAAGGGGAACCTCAATGGCCTCTTTTCCAATTCATCTCTCTGCATATAATATGTACATATGAGATGAAAAGTGATGAGGGCTAAAGTGGACTATAAAGTAAATGAGAAAGAAGGAGGGAAGTGGGAAAAAAATTGCATGAGGAAGAACAGGTTTGCTCCAAAACAGATTGGGAAGTACAAGGACAGTGAAAACAAAAGAAAAATAATAACACATAACATTATCTGAGGATTTACTATGTGTTAAGCACTATTCTAGGCTCTTTACATGCACGCATTAACTCAGTCCTTAAAGCAACATTATGAGGGAAGTACTAGTACTATCCCCATTTTAAGTGTAAGGAGTACAGGCATACCTTGAAAATATTGCAGGTTAAGTTCCAGAACACTGCAATAAAGTGAATATCACAACTGAAATTTTTGGTTTCCCAGTGCATATAAAAGTTATGTTTACACTATATTATAGTCTATTACGTTTGCAATAGCATTATGTATAAAAAAAACAACAGAGATACCTCAATTTAAAAATACTTTAGGGATGCCTTGGTGGCTCAGCTGGTTAAGCGTCCGACTTCAGCTCAGGTCATGATCTCACAGTCCATGAGTTTGTGTCGGGCTCTGTGCTGACAGCTGGGAGCCTGGAGCCTGCTTTGGATTCTGGGTCTCCGTCTCTCTCTGCCCCTCCCCTGCTCATGCTCTGTCTCTGTCTCAAAAATAAATAAAAACATTAAAAAATTTTAAAAATAAATAAAAATACTTTATTGTTGGGGCCTCTGACTGGCTCAATTGGTAGATCATGAGACTCTTGATCTTGGGGTCATGAGTTCAAGCCCCACATTGGGCGTAGAGCTGAATTAAAAAAATTACTTTGTTGCTAAAAATTGCTAACAATCATCTGAGCTTTCAACAAATTATAATATTTTTGATGGTGGAAAGTTTTGCTTCAATGTTGATGGCTGCTGGCTGATCAGGGTGGTAGATGCTGAAGGCTGGGGTGGTGGTAGCAATATCTTAAAATAAGGCAACAATGAAGTTTGTCACATTGACTCTTCCTTTCAGGAATGATTTCTCTGTAGCATATGGTGCCATTCAATAGCATTTTACTCACAGTAAAACTTCTTTCAAAAGTGGAGTCAATCCCAGGGCACCTGGGTTGTTCTGTCCAACTCTTGGTTTCAGCTCAGGTCATGATCATGGTTCATGAGTTCAAGCCCCACGTCAGGCTTTGTGCTGACAACGTGGAGCCTGTTTGGGATTCTCTCTCTCTCTCACTCTCTCTCTTTCTCTCCCGCTTT